CATTTGTCAAATCCAACAACTCATGTTCCTGATGGGCCACAGCTCCCTCCATCTCTGCCTCCCGAGGTCCAGCAATAACCTCCTCCCTCATCTGATCTGTCAGAGCACACTCTTGAGTTGATTCCTGGGTGGGTTCTATATAGATACCCACTACCTGTCCAAAATTTCTAATCGCAACAGTCATCAAATCCGTCTTCTCATGTAACTGTTCCAATAAAGCACTTGTCTTACAGAAAGCACGCACCAGAGCCTCTGAATACATTGTTATGCAAGGTCAGAAGTCTGTTCCCATGATCTTAATCTGTTTGCAGCTGCGAAGCTCCCCAGTTCAAGTTTAATAACAGTTTCACAAGCTCCCTCTAGGGGAAGAACTTCTATTTGTATCAATCTCTTTTTTTAAAAAACAACAACAGCAGATCTAACAACAAAGTTTCCTTTTTCAGATATTTTGTCAGTATTTGTTCCTTTAAAATGCAAAAGAGAACAATGGAATCACTATGTTTCTCTTCTTTTAACTGTCTGTCAAAAACATTTGTCTCTAGTCAATGAACTTCCCAAAAACGTCTGTCCTGACACCCCGCTCCCAGGTTCAAGACGGTGGAAAATTACTTTTCTTTACTCTCTCTCCTGCAAGTTTAAACAATCCGGAAAAAATCCCCCCTCTTCTCCTGCTTCCGAAGGGGCTTCAGTAGTTTTAGATGATGAAAGTTGATCCTTTACAAACGATTTTCTGAACTCTAGTTTGCCATGTCTTTGCTTTAATCTATCTACAAGAAACGGAAGGCTGACTTCCTGTTTAGACCTTCCCGCTTCAGTGCCAAATTAAGAAGAATTTCCTAATCCAATTTTCCCTTCTACTCACAGATCGTTGTTTAAAATCCAATTGTCCAAATTTGATCTGCTCACGGGTAGTTGTTTTTGTAACCAAATTGTCCCAGGAAAAAGGTAGCGCTCTCCGGCAACGGCTGTGCAGCTTCGCTCCACGGAAGAAGCAGTTGACTCTCAGCACCGCGCCACTAGCCCCTCTTCGCTCCGGAGCCCGTAGTTGGGTTCCTTTACGGATTGGGGGGGGCGCGAAAGGTGCCCGCCGAGTCCCATGGTCACAGGCTTCCTCCGCCTGTGATTTTTTGAAGGGTCCCCGCTTCGCCGTAGCGGAACAGACCCGTTTTCCGTGGAGCCAGTCCCTCCGGATCAGAGGGAGTCCGCCATTACCGATGGCGCCACCCCGGAAGTCTAATTCCGGGATTCTCCTGTAGGTCAATCAGGTTGCGGATTCACTTCCACCTGGAGCTGGATTGGGTGGCTCCTGTGGACCAATCAGACTGCTGCATTCTGGATCCTATTGTTCTAGGACCAATCAGACTGCTGCATTCTGGATCCTATTGTTCTAGGACCAATCAGACTGCTGCATTCTGGATCCTATTGTTTTAGGACCAATCAGACTGCTGCATTCTGGATCCTATTGTTCTAGGACCAATCAGACTGCTGCATTTTGGATCCTATTCAACTCAGTACATAACGGTAAGCCTGATCTTTATTAAAACTGTTGCAACACGGTGCTCCCCACACACGCAGGAGGCAGGAAGAGGACCTTGAACCATGCGCACAAGCCCTTATATAGACTTTTGAACTGCCCACCCTGGAGCCCAAGACCACCCCTCCATACATCATACATACATCACAGAAGGGGTGTAGTCCAAGACCACCCCCCAGTACATAATACATACATCAGAGAAGGGGCGGACTACAACAGAAATCTGAGTGCGTTTTTATCCTATCTGCCAGGTAACCTGATTGGATTACCTGGGCATCCTGGCCACGCTTTTGTTATGATAACTACTCAATTCCTGAATCCAGGTCACAGGCTCACCCTATTCATATCTTAAATGTGCCCTTGAGACAGAATTTGTGAGGAAAGATACAATGGGGAGGCTCCCCATATCCTTCAACCTTGCAGAGAAATATTTGAGGTCATTTGGGAGAGACAAAATGGTTTCAGGACTTTTTCCTGTACTGTTTTCAGACATGTGGGGTGTGTGTGTGTGTATATGAGACCTTAAAATTGTTATAACACTTGCAACCTAAAGGCAATGTAAGAATCCCTAGCAGATGACCACAGTGCCCAGAGACAGTCAGGTTGATCTCCATAGTGCAGAGAGAAGAAATGCCACGGTGCATCTGCAGCAGCATCACTGGGTGCTTTCATCTGCCTCAGCTGCAACAAAACGTGTCTCTCCTGCATTGGTCTCTACATCCCTAGCAGACTTCCAGCAGTTTGACTTCACCCCCAAAAGCACACTCCTCCACTGTCTCCCAAAACAGGCGGATGCAAACCAGAGATGACACCTATCCCTAGATCCATGGTGTAAGATGATGCTACCAGTGGGGCTCGACCCACAGTATTCTTGACAAATGCCTAGTAGTATTGCCTGCTGGCTGGCAATTATTTTCTTTCTACTTTAACAGTGTCGCACCCATGTGGCATCGCTGCAAACCAGGGTGGAATTAGTCGAGCTGTTTGCCCCGAGTGAAATCTGCAGACTTGACAAAGCTCTTCTGCCTTTACCTTTCTGTTTCTTATTGCAGCCTCGAGAAAGCATCCCATTCTGGGAGATTAGTGTTTTGCACAAATTAGTCCCTGAGCCCAACGGTGGCAAAGACCGACTCGTTGACAGTATTCCTCCCTTAAGTGCTGTTCTACTAATTAATGCTAGAGACCTGTAGCTAAAGAGTCCGCTAATTAAGAGCATAAGATGAGTCCTGGTGGATCAGCCCAGTGGCTCATCCAGTCTAGTGTCCTCATCTCAGAGGGGCCAGCCAGATAACTATGGGGAGCCCCATCTGCGTGCAACAACATTCTCCCCTCCTGCCGTTTGCAACCACTGGCATTCAGAATCATTACAGTGTCCAACGGGGGTGGAGGAATTAGTTCTGATCACTGTGTGGGCCAGTCTTTTAGCAGGACCCCTGGCAACCTCTTCAGATGACGATGCCTAATAGGGCTGAGGATGACACAGAGGTAAAGGGAAAGAGAGCTGTCATCACAGATTCATTTAGACTAAAGAGCAAGAGAGCTGGTTTGCAGGATGGCGTTGCTGCGGATAAACAAATTACCAAGCTTACAAGTTGGCTTGGGTCAGCCTGAGTGCAAAACCCCCGTATCTGGTTAATATTTAAAGATGTTTGCCGAAGAAGCTTGCATAATGAAGGGGCGCACCAGCACTGATCATTCAGAATAATTTGTCTCCTTAATAGGGATTTTGTAACTTGTTAAATTGTTTTGAAACTGACAACCAAACAGCAGAAGTGTTCGTGTGGCTAGGATTAATTCATTTGCAAGTCTCTATGATGCATGTTGACCGATTTCATCTGAAGACGCAAAAACACCTGGTTCGCGCCTCCTAAAAAATTGTGCGCCCGGGGCTACAGCTCCCCTCTTCTCTCCCGCCCCCCCCCCACTATGCTCCTGTCTATAGACAAATGTTAGTTTCTGAAGTGTCTATCTGAATGCGTGGCCACTACAGGCTCTTTGATGTAGGGTTGCCATATTTTGAAGAGTAAAAAAGTGGATGCTGTGACGACTCTCATGTTAAATGCCCCTACTACATGTATAGGGACACAGGTGGCGCTGTGGGTTAAACCACAGAAGCCCCACGACGGGGTGAGCTCCCGTTGCTCGGTCCCTGCTCCTGCCAACCTAGCAGTTCGAAAGCACGTCAAAGTGCAAGTAGATAAATAGGGACTGCTCTGGCGGGAAGGTAAACGGCGTTTTCGTGTGCTGCTCTGGTTCGCCAAAAGCAGCTTAGTCATGCTGGCCACATGACCCGGAAGCTGTCTGTGGACAAACACCGGCTCCCTTGGCCTATAGAGTGAGATGAGCGCCGCAACCCCAGAGTCGGTCACGACTAGACCTAATGGTCAGGGGTCCCTTTACTCTTTACTACATGTATAGAAGCGGTGATATATTGCTGAGGGAGGCAGGAGAAGAGGAAAGCAAGTCTTTAACCACCAGTTATATCTATGTCTCATCCAGAAAGTATACCCAGAGACATTTTGGCAAATTAAAAAAAATCTACCTGGACAGAAATTTTACCCCTGAAAAAGAGGATGTGTCCTGGAAAAAGAGGACACATGGCAACCCTAATTTTTGATGCCACATTGTAGATTAACACACATCAATTGAGTTATAGGCAGATGCCACTCCTGAACAAACCACATTGTTTCCTTTCTGCCAGGTGCAGGGAAGTTAAGACAGCAACTCTCCCTCAGCGACACCAAATCACTGCTGGGCCAGAATGAATCCCATAGCTTTAAAGGCACATTCAGTGGCTGAACTGCTAAAGGGAATGTACGGACAGCATATTGATTTTATTCTACTCTCAGTAGCATGGAGCTTTCCTCAGAGGACACTGGGAATTGGAGTTTGGTGATGGTTTTCAAAATCATATTGTAGGTAATTCCCCCCCAGCCCCCAAATGCACAGCCACAATTTCCAAACATCACTGGGATAAAAATAAATAAATGCTATTTTCCATTTGTGGTGTAGTTATGGCCTGAATATCGATATGTGCTTCTTTCCTTCTCTATACAATTCTCACATTCATTGGGGAGATCATTAATATAACTAGGCTTTCCATTAGATAGCGCACTGGCTAGGATGTCTCTGGAAAGTCAGCGGATCTTGTTGTTAGTCAAACAACTAGGGAGAATCAGCAGAAATATATTCAAATGAATTGTGTAGACTTCAGGGATACAGTATTTTCATTACTCCGCTGCTGGGGAGCACAATCACTGCTCACTAAAACTCCATAATATAGGGAAAGATTGGTTCTGCCACCTATTTCAAAATATTGATTTTAGAGGCATCTCTAAAATGTGCAGCCCAAGTGTTCAAGCCCTGCCCAAGAAAATAAATGACCTTCCTCACTGCATTTTTGTGCCTCAGTGTATGGAAATCAAACCATACCATATTTCCTTTCTGACCAGTTGACGACCCTATGGCTGTATCTCAGTGGTAGGGCATCTTCCCCGCAAGCAGAAGGTCCCAGGTTCAAATCCTGACATGTACGACTAGGAAATACCTTGTCTGAAATCTTGGAGAGGTGCTGCCAGTCAGTGTAGACAATACTGAGCTATGTTTGACAAACCCTCACCGTGATCAACTCCCACCCGGAAACCTATGTCCCCACTGTGGAAGGACGTGTGGATCCAGAATTGGCCTCCACAGTCATTTACGAACTCATTGTTAAGACAGTGTTCATAGAAGACAACCTTACTTGGTTACAAGTGAAATAAAAAAATTCCTTCCAGTAGCACCTTAGAGACCAACTAAGTTAGTTATTGGTATGAGCTTTCATGTGCACGAACACTTCTTCACACTTTTTTGTGTGCATGCACATGAAAGCTGATACCAGTAACTAACTTAGTTGGTCTCTGAGGTGCTACTGGAAGGAATTTTTTAATTTTGTTTTGACACAGACCAACATGGCTACCTACCTATAACTTGGTTACAAGTGATCACCAAAGAAGAAGAAGACATGGACCAATGTTCTGACTCAATATAAGGCAGCTTCCAATGTCCCTATGCTCAACTCTCTCTCTCTCTGTTCTGATGGGTAAATGCCCCTTCCTTCCTTCCACCTCAGACATCTTCCACGCCCTGAAGTCTAGCTGTTGTTGCACTTCAGATGACATCCTTTGAATTGCAGTGGATCCCAAATGTCTCCCATAGCAATTGAAAGCCTCTGCAACTTGTCTCACCAGTTCTTCCCACTTACCTGGTGGTGGCAGTGGGTGGTATTGGGGAGAGATCACTGGAGGCTGTCAACAACAACAACAAGAACAATTTTATTATTCGTACCCCCCCCCATCTGACTAGGTTGCCCCAGGCACTCTGGGTGGCTTCCAACAGAATCTGTCTCTACTTTTTGTAATGCTGTAACCTCAGTGCCCTAGAGACTATGGGAAATGCAATTTTCCCAAGGCACCCAAGTCCTTCTGCAAGGAGCCCTGAGATATATCATTTTCAGAGGCCGGCTGGTAACATTACACTTCCTTGGGTCCTGACATTTGGAAGATGCTGTTGATGCAGCATCCCAGATGCCAGAAAGCAGGGCTCTCCAGCTCAGAAAAACCGTAGAGAGGAATTTTAGGCACAAGCGACACCCAGTTCAGAATGAACCAGAGCATTATATGATGGACAAATTCACATTCTGAACTGAGCATTATTTATTTATTTTGTTGACATCGCTAATGAATATTGAACACATTTCCTATCATCAAATTTGGATGTGGCAAATGTATCAAACTTCAGATCTGTGCAAATATTTGTTTTATATCAATCCGCAGCTCGCCTCTTCCCTGCCTCTTCCTCCTTCCATACTCCCCAGGCTCGCACACACACACAAACTATACATATCAAAGGAACTTTCTGCTATAAATCAGACACCGGGACGATGTTAGATATGCAAACTCCACCATGCTGTTCCCTCAGTACCGCCATCGCTACCTCCTCCTTTCTGCATTCGTTATTTGTTGACAAAATATTGAGGGATCATACTACAGTCCTGGGTATAACTTATTCCACCTCTCTTCTAAAATTTACCTATTCAAAATGATTACTACATGCTTAATAACTTCAAAGGCTTCAGGTCTCCCAGGAAGGGAGAAGGTTGCTTCAAAGCCTTTCATTGCTTTATGCTAATTCCTGGAGATGGAGAACCTTCCCTACCCTTCAGACTGATGAAGGCAGGGTCCCAGCGGAGACTTCCTACACTTCTGGCAAGCTTCTTTTTCAAAGGTTTTAATTGTTGGTGTTTCTCATTTGATGCTTTCCAAGTCACTGACAGATTTGCTTTCAGGGGGGAAGAAACAGCGATGCTTTTGGGGCATGTCCACTTTCAGAAGGTTCAGGGTTTATTTGGCTGGCTAATCCTCCTAGGATTGGCTGGAGGAGAAGAGAAGGCTTCCCTTTTCTTCATATGCAAGCTCGTTAACTGTCAGATTCTTTGAGAGACTCTCTCAACTGTAATTAGTAGCAGCGCTCAAATGCCGCTAATTTTTTTTGGGGGGAAGATCCCAGTATTACTGGCAGCTGTCTTGATTTGCGCTGGCTTTTCTGTCTGAATGGGTTGCTTTTGAGATTAAATGCTACGTTACAATCAATTCTTTGGCAATCTGGGTCACTAGGGAACAGGAAAGCTTGAAGGCACATTCCTCTTGCTCTCTCCCCCAATTCATGCATTTAAAAGGTTTACAAGCGGCATGTCGCAAGAGGAGAACTTTGTTTTTGTAGCACAGATGTTCCATTATACAACGGAAAGCTAAGGGAGTCTTAATACATATAAAAGGCAGCTACCAAAGTTTTGTCACACTCCAGCGTGACCCAGGGAACAGAACCGAGGATGGAGTTATGCTGATGAGGGCTGGGAGATGCAGAAAAGAAGAAGCAAGATTTTTTGTGGATGGCTTCGTTGGGTTGGCCAAGTACATCCCTTAACTTTGTCCCGTGCTTGTGAGTTTACTTGTACGGAGAAAGAAAGAAGCTGCATTTCAGAATGCTTGAAAACATACTCTCTCAGGTGTTAAGACTGGCAAAGGAGATTTTTCTTGGTACTCTCAGAAGTGCACGAAATTGTGTCTCAGGAGGGGGGCATTGTCAGGACTCCCCTTAAGAAGACTCAGAAGACAACAATATTGTGGGGAAAAGTTATACAGTGGAATCTCAGGTTAAGTACTTAATTCGTTCTGGAGGTCTGTACTTAACCTGAAACTGTTCTTAACCTGAAGCACCACTTTAGCTAATGGGGCCTCCCGCTGCCGCCGCACTGCCGGAGCACGATTTCTGCTCTCATCCTGAAGCAAAGTTCTTAACCTGAAGCACTATTTCTGGGTTAGCAGAGTCTGTAACCTGAAGCGTATGTAACCTGAAGCGTATGTAACCTGAGGTACCACTGTATTTATTGAAATATAACAAAATGGGTGGATCTGCAAACAAATCAACCAAATTAACTGAAACTAAATATAGTAAAATTCCTTAAAGCAGGTGGGACCATCTGCCTCCACTCTTCTAGGCAGGTCTACAGGCTCTGTCTGAGGCCCCACAGGTAAGGATTGAAAGGGATTCTTCCTCCCTGCTATAAAAGCCTTGGGTATGTGAGTTTGACAAATGAACTGTGGCTCTGCTGGTTTGGCATTCAGCCAGATCTGTGTGTCAAGTCTAAAGGGCACACTTATGACTCCCCAAAGTCAATCCAGGATTGGGCACCCGAAGAGTACCCTCAACCCAATAAATAATGCCACAGATATCTATCCCCTGACCGGATGTAAAAAAATCCCCTTCCTGGTTGATCTGAAAGCCAATTAAACCAATCAAAATTGCTACTACACTCATAACAGTATGAAGTAGGCAGGGAAGAGAGTCCAAGGCAATCAGGGTCGCCCCTAAAAATTCCTAGTCAGACCCCAAATACACAACTAGCAGAAGTCCATACTGCATAGGGCGAGAGGGCAAACCCTGCACAAAGCAAAGGTAGAAAGTCTGGGAATGAGTCAGCTGATAAAGCCTGGTCTCTTCTCCCCCCACCTTGCCTTATTTTTGTATATTATTTGAATTAATATACACCTGTATGCACACTTTCCCCAGTATATTCATTTTTGTATGCAATATTTCATTGTAGATTCATCCTTATTCTTTACCTGCCCCATACCTTGTATCACTTATGATATCAGGTGTGTGGCAGGTGGACACGGGTTGGGAAAATGCTCTCACAAGCCAAATTGGAACTCCTATCCTACCTAATTTTGCCCGGAGCCTCAAGATTCCCCATTGCTGACCTAGGGATGCTTCTTTGTATGCCATAGAAATTTGACAGGCTTTGTCCTTTCAGAAGGGTCAACTGTGCCTGCAAATTCCACCCATTCTTGCCAAGAAAAAGTTATATCTGTGTCTCTTTACAAAATACCTTCATACTGCAAAGGCCCCTAGCACAGAAGCCCTTAATCTATTTGCCTGAAATTTGTCAGGTTTTGTCAAAGAATGAATTGCAGCTGGTTTCTTTTTGGGGAGGATGAACTAGAACTAGTTCATTTTAAAAGAAGAACTTTGCTAGCACAGATCGTTCCCTCCATACATACACACACACACACACACACACACACACACACACAATGGAAGTACTGTATATCAGAAGAGCCCTGATGGATCAGAACAGAAGCCTATAATGTCCAGCACCCGGTTCCCCCCAGCGATCAATCAGATGTTTCCTAAAAGCCCCAAAGCAGGGCATGAGGGCAGTTGCTCTCTCCTGTTGCCCCGCAGTGAGTGGCATTCCGAGGCATGCCGCCTCGGACCCCTCCCAACATAATGACAGGCATTTTGCTCATGATCTAAGAACCATAGAGCACTTTGTACACTAATAAAAGTTATAGAAATGATAAATAATGCTGCTCAGGGTGCCTTTATCCCAGATATAAACAATTGCAATTCCTTTGTTTGCCTTACCCAGGCTTTTAGGTTGGACTTTATTTTGCTCGGTGATTGGATTCATCAACTCTTCATGCCTCAATAATTCCTGAGATTCTCTTTCCATTAAAAATAAATACCCCATTTTATATCCTTGTGATGGTACCCATATTTGATTGTCTTTTCTATGGTGGTATATATTGAAAACTATAAAATTATAATACAACTATTAATCCCCTGTATCTGCTTGTACCTAATTTTTTATTAAAAATGTATTGTGCTCCAGCTGGCTCGTAAATTACAGTGTGGTTGAAAAGTCTCTTGCTGGATTACTCCTGAAGCAGAACATATTGAAGGAAGGAGAAAGGCTTACAGATTAATATTTTGACTTCATGGACACTGTGACTAGGATGGCGGTTTGCTTATGGGCAGAGCAATTCTAAAGAAAGATGGTTACAAGAACTGGACTCAGGAAAGAGCAGAGGAACCACAGACCTTTGTCAAGAAATGGTCTACCTTATCATCACAGCTTGGCTATGTTTGGACGTCACGCTAAACCAGGGGTAGGTCAACATGGCGCGCTCTGGCTTTTTGGAAGACTCCAGTTCCCACCAGCCCTTGCCAACGCAGGAATGATAGGAGTTGTAGTCCAACCAACAACATGTGGAAGGCATCATGTTGGCTCCCCTTGTGCTAAACCATTGTTAAGCATGACATGAGTGCGACTTTTGCTTGTATATTGCCCTCCCCTCTGCTTCTCCACGGTGAACAAAAGAAGAACAGAAGCTTCTGCTTCCATTTAAGTTTAACCACAGTTTAGTGTAAGATTAGCAATAGTTTGTGGGGTGTCAGGATGCTGTCAGCGGCCCCCGGCTGGTTGCCCAGGAAAGTATAAAGACAAGGAAAAGTTTCTCGCCGCCCTTTTTTATTTCAGTCTTTACACAGAGAGGCTATAGAACCCAGCCTCTTGGATAATGGTGTTGTCCCAAGTGAATCACCACCCTGCTGGCTCTCCCATTCCTCATTCGTCATCACCATCACTTCCTCTATGGGTGCTGCTAAGTGTCCTCTGTCTTTGAGCTCTTTGTTCTGCTACTTTTAAGGCTCCCCAGGTTCTGGGAGATGGAGGATCTAGAATGCTTTCTGGCGACAAAGTGTCAGCCAGCTGCTGCTCTGACTCTGCCTGCTCCTCCTCTCCCATTATTTCCCAACTTTCCCCCTCATCTGCCTCTGAGCTGTGACTTCCTGTAAACCACTGTTGTAAATCTATACTGTCATCCTCCTCTTCCTCCTACCTGGAAGGGTCAGGATGGGGAGGCGATCTCCACCATTCCTCCTCTGCCCAAACATGGGGTTTGGACAACATGGTCAGTTGGTTAATGAGAAATAGAAACAAAAGCTCCTGAATTCATCCTCATGGCCATGCTGGAGGAAAAGGAGGCTCATTTTTGTAACACTGAGCTATGGTTTAGCATTATGCCCAAACTGGACAGCTGACTTTTGCATGTCTTTGAATGGCATGACATAAAAGTCGTAGCTTAGGCAATGCCGCCACCATGGTTTGTTCTCCCAGATAGCCACAAACTGCAACCAAGGTTTGTTTTTGGTTTACAGGTATGAATGACACACTCTAAGCCAAACCATTGTTCAGCGCTAGTTAGTGTGACAGCAAGAGGACTGGGATAGCAGCACAGCAGCCACAAACCACTTTGTGGGAACCTGCATGTTTGTGGAAAGCCGAGATTTGGTTGAGCATTAGATGTGAACCAGGTCAGTGTAATAAATTAATTCAGTATGGTTACTCTCTTTAGAACACAGCTCACACACTCACAGTTCCAGCTCCAAGGTGCTGAGGATTAGCTTGAACTGTTTCATCTATTTCCAGCATTTTGTATCAGGCAAGCTCACCGTTTGCTTCATTTTGGAATTTACAATTTCAATTCAAGTTGTTAGACATTTTTGTTATTACATTAACTGCATTGATAGAAAGTTAATGCAGGAAGTAAGGAGACTAGAGGCAGGAAATGTGAATACAGTGTTTAGGCTGGGATCCAAAGACCCATGCCCTTTGCTGCACTATCTGCACTATACATTTAAAGCAGCATCATAGCACTTTAAACATTCATGGCTCCCTGCAGTGCACCCTGGGAGCTGCAGTTCGTTGAGGAAGCTGAGAACTAAAGTGGTTTTACAATCAATCCCAATTCCGAGGGAACTCTGGGAATTGTAGTTCTCCAAGGGGAATAGGGGTGCCCTAACAGCTCTCAGCATCCTTAACAAACAACAGTTCCCAGGATTCCTTGGGGGAAAGCCATGGCTGCTTAAAGTGGAATGAAACTGCTTTAAATGTGTAGTGCAGATGGGGCTTTAGCTTGACCATAGCTAGTAGGGCTTTCTATCAACTTGAACATCAGACTCACATTTTTGGGTGGGTGGTTGGGTGTGTTACATCCTTTGGTCCAGACAATAAAATACATTGGGCTTCATCACCCACTTCTTTTGAGATCTCTACCAGCTCCCTGAGTGGTTGGCCACGCAACCTCTGGATTAGATGGGTGTGCTGTTGTTCTCACTCGAGAAACACAAGCCCGACTTACCCTTAGGAGTGCAAGATTTGCGTTGGAGGTCTTTGAATCTTTGCCAGGACTTAAACATTTGGCGGTGCATTGACATTAACGACATGCATATTAGATCGCTGCTCAAGCGCAAAGCAGGAAAAACTGTACACTACTAAATGGGAAGTGATTTGTGTTTTTAAATGACTGATACACTGCTAATCGTTATTCAAAACCTTGTTAAGAGCCATCAAAGCCTGTGATTGAATTGTGGTTCTGTTTTCTCTCATTCCAGCCATTTCCCAGAGTGTTCTGTTTTACATAATGTACCAAAAGGTCAGAGAGAGAGAGGAGAGAGAGAGAGAGAGATGATAGATATAGATAGATAAATTGATGGTAGATAGATATAGATAGATAGATAGATAGATAGATAGATAGATAGATAGATATACAGTGGTGCCTCGCAAGACGAAATTAATTCGTTCCGCGAGTTTTTTCGTCTTGCGGTTTTTTTCGTCTTGCGAAGCACGGTGTCGGAAAAGTTTTGGAAAAGCTTCAAAAATCACCAAAGTCTTCAAAAACCTCAAAAAGGCTACCACACCACGTGCTATGAGTTGCTCCTCGAAGTCAAGTCGCAACTGTATTAACGGTTTTAAGAAAAAGGAACAAACTTGCAAGACGTTTCCGTCTTGCGAAGCAAGCCCATAGGGAAAATCGTCTTGCGAAGCAACTCAAAAAACCAAAAACCCTTTCGTTTTGCGAGTTTTCCGTCTTGCGAGGCATTCGTCTTGCGAGATACCACTGTAGATAGATAGATGATAGACAGATGATAGGCAGATGATAGATATAGATGATAGATTAGATAGATGATAGATAGATCATAGATAGATAGATAGATGATAGATGATAGATGATAGATAGATGGATGAGAGAGAGGCTTCTACATTTGCGTTTTTCCCTCCTTGACCAATTATACGGGAACCATCATATTGGCCACTGTAAACATGGAAAGATATTAGAAGATAGGAAACTGCCTTCTGCTGAGTCAGGCCATTGGTCCATCCAGCTGATTATTGCCCACACTGACTGGCAGCAGGTCTCCAGGGATAGGTCTGTCTTGCCAAAGGCAAGGTGGTTCTTTTAAAATGAGATTCAGAAGCCATACAAAATACACAAGTGAGTGAGAAGACCAACCAGGAGGGAGACAACATGCCAGTCAGGCATGTGTCTCTGCCAGGGTCCTACCCGAGTTTAGGACGAGCTCCTGACAACGCCTTCACCACCTCCCAGTGTTCTCAAAACGTTCATGTTGACATTCCATTGAGGAAGGGGGAAGGAACAGAGGCAGGAAGGGCTCTGTATCAGACCACTAACTCCTTGATACATTTCGTCTTCCGGGTGCATTTCCCATACAAGGTCTCTCCTAGCCCTGTTTGGAGATACTGTTTGGAGAATCTGGGACCTTCTGCCTGCAGTGCATGTTCTCTGCCGCTGAGCTACCAGCAGGTGATGGCTAAAGAAAAGTAAATGTGGATGAACATCCAACCCTCCTGGGTGAGCATGCAAAGCATCCAAGGATATTTGTGCAGAATGCTGTTCAGAAAGAAGCAATCCTGTTAACTGGCTGTGTGAATTCAGAAGAATGACTGGATCCATTCGCTTGCTCCTTCCCGAACCACCGATAGATGCAATGGTCACTTTGCCGTTACACCCATAAAGAAGACCCAAGAAGCATAAATATGTTAAAGCAGTTTATTAAAATTAAAATATAACAACGTGGGGGATCTGCACAATGCCAATTCAATTGATTAGTCAAATTAAATTAGTCCAGGCAGGGGAGTGATCCCCTAGGAGTAAGAGGTTCCTGTCCCTTCACCTTACCTGGGCATGCTTACAGCCACACACTATGGCCAAGTAGTGAAAGACTGAAAGGAAATCCTCCCTCCTTGCTATGTGCTCCTTGGGTATTGTAGGGATGTGAATAGATGCTAGGAGAGGATATATTTATTGGATATTATCCTCCCTTCCTCACGTTTGTGAGTTTGGCAGAGTGCATTCATTTGCAGCTTGAAAGGGAAGTTAGATAGGCTAGTTTTAACCTTTTACTTTAAGTAATCTGGGATGCTTTGACTGGATTCTCCTGGTATTTCCCCCTTTTCTCCCCCTTAAAACAATAATCACACAAACAGTCATGAAAAAGTTAAAAATAATGTTTACTCACTCAAAATGCTTGTTGAAAAGTAACAGATACAGCAGCTTTGTTCAGACAGGCTAAAAATGCTAAGGCATCCTTTAAAGGTAAAGGGACCCCTGACCATTAGGTCCAGTCACGGACGACTCTGGGCTCATCTTGCTTTATTGGCTGAGGGAGCCTGCATACAGCTTCCGGGTCATGTGGTCGGCACAACTAAGCTGCTTCTGGTGATCCAGAGCAGTGCACGGAAATGCCGTTTACCTTCCTGCCACAGTGGTACCTATTTATCTACTTGCACTTTGACGTGCTTTTGAACTGCTAGGTTGGCAGGAGCTCACCCTGTCGTGGGGATTCGAACTGCCGACCTTCCCTAGGTATCTTTTAGTCTAGTTTAAAATGGTGTCTGAGCACTGGAGCTCAGACACAGCAGATGTTCTCACATTTCTGGCTTGGTGATGAGAGAAAGAGGTACGAGGAGAAGGGCCAAAAGAGGATGTGCCCAGGCAGGAAGAGAATATATATATATATATATATATATATATATATATATATATAGCTATTCCATCCACCTGTCAGGGCACAGTGGGAGTGTCTCTCACAGAGTTCTCTCTAGCAAACTTACAGGAAAATTCTGTGAGCTTCAGTTCCTATCATGTGCCTATCTAGCAAACATGAATCGTTGGTTTGACTGCATTGTAAATATCCCACAATTGTAACCTGATTTGTGCAGTGTGGCCCTGCCAGCCCAATTTTCACCCCGATGTGCATTTTAGGTCCCAAGAGGGGCACCCCGAGAACCCCCAAGCTGAAGGAAATGGAGGGACCACAGAGTGCCCTTGACCCAATAACGCCTCAGGTATTTGATGAACGCATCCTTAAATGTCTGGACTAAATGCCAATGAGGAGGGTTGGACAGTGAAGCAAGCAGGAGCATCAGCCTCTAGTAAATGAATAAGAAGGAATTCCATCAGCGTTTCTCATTCAGGGACAGAGCTGGGCTTGGGGCAAGATTTGTTTCTTGGTGTCTTTGAGCAATAGAATTGCGTGGGGGGGGGGAGGGATGAGAGAGAGAGAGAGAGAGAGAGAGAGAGAGAGAGAGAGAGCGCCATCACAATGAATAGCAGTCTCCATAGCCTTTTAAAAACAATATTCTGGACCTGCTGTACAAAGGAGAATTCCAAAGGCTCCCTTAAGATGCCAGTTTTAGAACAAACTCATTATCATTGATGTTCTGTAATAGAGACTGACAAGATATCCGCATGACAAGGCTACTTTGGCCTGGATGATTGTATTCTTTTTGATCACTGGTATTTACAGTAGTATATAAAGTGCCATTCATTTTCTGCTTTGTTTGACTGGAAGCAAAGGCAGGACATGGGACTTAATATAGAAGGGATTGCCTAGAAGCGAAATACCTATATGCAGCCAAGACTTAGGCGCTTGGTGCATAATCTTTCAGCTACGGCAATTCAGAGCAGGGGCTACAGAAGGCCAAAACCTGAGGTGGCAGAAACATCTGGAACTACATTAAAAAAGCAATCAGCTTGAGACCAAAGTCTGCAGTAAAAAAGGGGGAAGGTTCTGGTTGCTATATTTGCCAGACCCTCCAAGTATCTCTGTTTTCCAGGAACAGTACCCAGCTTTACAAAAGCCATCCGAGTTTCTGATTTGATCCTAGGACGTCCCTATTTCCATTGGAGAAATATTGGAGGGTACGGAGTTATGTGACCTTTAGAAGACAACTACAGGGATGCGGGTGGCACTGTGGTCTAAACCACCGAGCCTCTTGGGCTTGCTGATCGGAAGGTCTGCGGTTCGAATCCCCGGGACGGGATGAGCTCCCATTGCTCTGTCCCAGCTTCTGCCAACCTAGCAGTTCAAAAGCACGCCAGTGCAAGTAGATAAATAGGTACCACTGTGACGGGAAGGTAAACGGCATTTCCGTGCACTCAAGCTGCCGTCACGGTGTTCTGTTGCACCAGAAGTGGTTTAGTCCTGCTGGCCACATGCCCTGGAAAGCTGTCTGTGGACAAACGCTGGCTCCCTCAGCCTGAAAGCAAGATGAGCACCCCAGCCCCATAGTCGCCTTTGACTGGACTTAAGCGTCCAGGGGTCCTTTACCTTTTACCTAGAAGACATCTGAAGGCTTTACTGTATAGGGAAGTTTTTTAAGTGTTTTATTATGCTTTTATATATCTTGGAAGCTGTCCAGAGTTGGCTGGGGCAACCCAGTCAGATGGTTGGGGTATACTGCTGCTTGCTTTTAAACAAGACGTCCCTATTTTCAGTGGAGAAATGTTGGAGGGTATGAAAGGATCTTCTCATGTTGTTATAGATTTGTAGAGTTAGAAGGGACCCCGAGGCTCTTCTACTCCAATCCCCTGCAATGCAAGAATCTCGACTAGATCATATGTGACAGATGGCCATCCGAAGGACCGCAGCCTAATGACAAATAAACGCAGAACCAAACACAATGGTCCTGCTGTAGCGTAGATATAGGCACATGCTTCACATTGTTTGTGCCTCCTGAGTGCAAATGTTTTCCTTGGTCTTACCTACATACTTACCTTTTCCGAATGGAAAAAGAAATAGAAAACCACCAGAATTATTCAAAATAGCCCTAAGAAAAATGTGCGTGCACACTGATCGGACAAAAGTCCTTATGATCTATCGAGCTGACGATTTGCTAAATGCACATTGACATGATGGAAAGTCATGGTGCCCAAGGAGTCCGTTGTGGATACAATCTGCAGATAATGGGTCTCTGGGAGATTTTTGAAGTGTGCCTTTTTAATTCATGCCGTTGCACTTTCAAGATGCACAGAGGCTCAGTGTGCTTTAGATGTGCCACAAACCTCCTCCAAACACCTTGGGCACTGTCTTATACTCTTCGATTGATGGAGCCATTTACGTCCTCAATGGACGCACAATAATGACTCCATTTCGACCGATCCCATTTCAATGCCATCACCTCCTCTGCTGCCATTAAAAAGACAGGGACGTTACAACCTGGGTGACAGATTATTTCTTTAAAAAGGGAGAGAAAGGAAATTAACACAATATATTGAATTGCGCTGAATTGACACAATAAATAATGAAATGGACCAGGCTCTCACCTCTCTCTGCTGTAATTCCACAAGGAAAAATAGACATATTTACCACCTAGTTGATGTCACGCCTAGTGCTAAGGTTAAAATAGATGGGGAAACCTTTATAAGATAGTGATAGTATTACAAAACTGGCCAGATTTTATATTGCTAACAATATCCCTCGAACTGTGAAGACGTGCAGATATTTCCTCTCCCCCTCCCTCCTTTCCCTCTTCTACATCCTGTCATTGTTGGGTATTTTTGTACCTCCCATTAAAATCCTTGTATACATGCCTTGATAATTTCTTTTCTAGATGACTCTCACCTCTTCCTCCACTTGCCTTTTTAAAATCTTACCATCAACTCTAATGCCTCCATTAATCACCATCCTCCCCCATCGCCAAGGACATAGCAGGTAATGGGCACTGAAGTGGTGCTTACAGACCTTGGTGGTGAGAGAGCAGGTTTCCAGCTGTGCTCTGCCAGGGACCTAGAAGAAAGAAGAAGAGAAGAGAAGAGAAGAACGGCACCACCTCTATAGGAGAGCATCTGCTTTGCATGCCGAAGGTCTCAAACCCCAACATCTCCAGGCTTGGCAGGGAAAGATTCTTGCCTGAAACCTGAAAAAATGAGGTTTACTGATTGGAAAATGTGCACAGCCTGGCAGCCTTAATGGATTTGATGGAACTTGTGAGCAAAAAGGAGGCTACAGGAAGATGACAGGGTTCACAACTGGCAATGCTTTTCATGGCATGCCTGAGATATGCGTTATCATAACGATCCTTAGTGTTATGTGTGAATTCAACCCAGCAGCTTAACGATGGTTTATTAACTATGGTTAAAGGTCACACAAGTGTGCGGTTGGTTCATAAAGCTTAATTAATGATAACTATAGTTTACTCTTAGGGACGCGGGTGGCGCTGTGGGTTAAACCACAGACCCTAGTACTTGCCAATCAGAAGGTCGGCGGTTCGAATCCCTGCAACGGGGTGAGCTCCCATTGCTCGGTCCCTGCTCCTGCCAACCTAGCAGTTCGAAAGCACCTCAAAGTGCAAGTAGATAAATAGGTACCACTCCGGCGGGAAGGTAAACAGCGTTTCCGTGCACTGCTCTGGTTCGCCAGAAGTGGCTGAGTCATGCTGGCCACATGACCCGGAAGCTGTCTGCGGACAAACACCAGCTCCCTCAGCCTATAGAGCAAGATGAGTGCGCAACCCCAGAGTTGGTCATGACTGGACCTAATGGTCAGGGGTCCCTTTACCTTTACCTATAGTTTACTCTTATGTGTGAAACCAGACCTCCTCCTTATCTAGGTATGGGAAAGCAGACTTTAGTGCCCCAATGCAACTGAGTCTGGAGTGAGGAATGGCAAACCATGGAAACCACTCTCAAGGCTCAGCTGCTCACACTGGACTCAGCTAGACTGGTAAACAAAAAGTGATTTATCGTATTTTTCCCTGTAGAGGATGATTCTTTTTGCTTAAAAAAAATAGGCAAAAATTGGGTGTTGTCTTATACACAGATAGTGAATGCGGGGGGTGGGGCATGTGATTAATGGCAGCAGCAAGCAGGAGACTGGTAGTGGCGATTGGGTGGGTGATTGGTGGCTGCAGCAAGGCCTGCTGGCGATTGGCTGTGGCAATTGGGCAGGCGATTGGCAGCTGTGGCGAGGCAGGCAGGCGATTGGTGGCAGCGAGCGTGCAGACAATTGGCGGCTGCGGCGAGATGTGCGATTGGCAGTGGCTGTGGCAAGTGATCGGAAGTGGTGGGCAGGCGGTTGAGCGATTGGCGGAAGTGACTCCCCCCACTCCCCCCAAAAGCTAAACAACTTAATTTCTAAATTTTGGGTAAAAAAAAATAGGGACCGTCTTATACATGGGGGCGTCTTATACACGGAAAAATACGGTATATGTGTTGTATATGCGATATAACATTGTGCCACCAGATGGCAATATGGACTCCCATTTTTCTTCACCTGTTTTCCCTGTTTAAATTTACAACGCTTTAAACTGAGACATTTCTTTGATGTGTCTAGATCCAGCCACTGGTGCATTTAAACTGTTCTCTGACATAATCAACCAAGGTTTAAGTGATCATCTTCAAGATGCCTCAGCTTTAAATACGGTTTATTAACTATGGGTTAATGTTAGCTGTGACTGAATGTTGTGTGCAAACCATAGTCTGTGTATTAAGCTGCTGCCAGAGTCAGAAGAGTGAGTAGGGCCTGGTTAAAAATAAAAGGTAAAGGTAAAGGTACCTCTGACCATTAGGTCCAGTCGTGACCGACTCTGGGGTTGCGGCACTCATCTCGCTTTATTGGCTGAGGGAGCCGGCGTACAGCTTCCGGGTCATGTGGCCAGCATGACTAAGCCGCTTCTGGCAAACCAGAGCAGTGCACGGAAACACCGTTTACCTTCCCGCCAGAGCGGTACCTATTTATCTACTTGCACTTTGATGTGCTTTCGAACTGCTAGGTTGGCAGGAGCTGGGA